ATGGCCTGTCTGTATTCTAGTTTATCATGACATGAAGAGATAACTCATCCACCTCTACCCTCTGAGCATATATTTTTTTATTTACTGTAGATCAGACATTCAATTGGTTAATCAAGGCATGCACACGTGTCTAATTTTAATTCTGACCTTATAATCTCCTCTCCTTTAACTTTTGGAAAAGAGGTAACAATTTTTTAAATTTTCTTAAAAATCATTTCATTAACAGTTACTTACTGAAGAAGTACAATCAAAGTATTGAAACATCAAAACTTTTGTGTAGTGATTTAAAAATGTTTTTATTATAACCTATTATAATAAAAATATAATAGTAATATATTTTTTTTTGTTTATAACATTAGTCTGGGGTTATATATTTTTGTTGCTGTGCACTTTTTTGTCATCAATTTTTGCCCTGATGAGGACTATCAAACAGTTCTGTTTTTAATAGTCACCATACTTCAGTATTACCTATTTACAGTAATTTATATTTTTGTGACCTCCCTCTACCACCTTTTTGTTACATTTTTGTTATGAATTGCTATTAAATATATCTACTTTTATTGATCTAATTAAAACTTGTAGGCCTGTAAGACTATTTTAAGATCATATATTATATTAGTAAACAGCTGGTAAGAGTATAAAACTAAATTTGCCATACATAAAAAAATTGTTAATGTATTTCTTGATTCTGTTAAATTAATGTTGTCTTAATCATAGGTATGTGATTTTGGGTCTTTCTTTGAACATTTGTTCTTTTTGCAAGGGTGTGAGGAATTCTAATATTTCCCTCATAGGTTGATTGGGTGGTAGCACCTGCTAGGGTCCCAACAAATAGCTAACCACCAAACTGGGGTCAAAAAACTATGAAAGTATAAAAATACATTTTTTAGTAAAAATATCAACAATACATTTTTGAAAAAAAAAAATTACCAGCAATGAATACATATTCTATTTGTATGAACCTATCCTAAAAATCTTGTTGACATTAAATAACCTATTGAGGTTGATATGCTGTAAAACAAACAAAACGAAACCAAATCTCATAGGTTAGTAATTTATATAACTTCCTATGATCTGGTTGTCTTGCTTGTTAATTACCTAAGTTCAGCTTGGTTTGCTTCCATATTTATATTCACTGATATTGTTTGATGCCCGATTATGGTGACTTTGAGGTTATCTTCTATATCAACCTTAAGGGCTCCTAGATCTTTTAACTTTCTGAGGTGTAAACATACACAACTTATTTTGGTATCTCTCAGGGTGAACCCAGTATATGTTGGAGTCATCACAGTTGAACTCTTTGTATATCAAGTTTCTTGATAGGCATAAAATTTGATTCAGAACTTGTCAAGTAAGTAGCCATGGTTAAATGCAGAATAAATAACTGAACTGTCCAACAAACAAAATTGACAAAGTTTGCAATACACAATAACAAAAAAGTGAAGAAAAGAACAGGGCAAAAAATAATATAGAATATCAAACAATATATGCAAGGCAAATCAATAGTAATATGGCAAAAAGTTTGCAAATTAAGTATTGGAGTTGACACAGAAGAGCAAGTTTGGATAAGCAAACATAGTATTGTGACTTCAAGACAAGACAGACTGGGACTAAGTCAGATGAAACTGAGTACTGGCTTATTTTATTGGCGAGGAAAAAAATCTCAGAATGCATTTGTATGCCTTTGCCTATAAAATAAGAAGGCCAAAACACCTACTACAATCATGTACATTACACTTGGCTGAAAAAATCGGTTGTATTCTTTTATTTCCTATTATTTTGGATGTTTCTTCTCAATTTGTTTTTCTTGTTTGTTTAGGTGTACCCGAATTGCTTTACTGATTCGTGCCAGCCACCAAAAAATCAGCCAAATTAGCCATTTGGTTCCTATGAATAAACTGAGTTCTTTTTTAAATGAACTTAATATTGAACTTATCCAAAGGTAAACAGGTTTCATATTTTACTCCAATAAATAAAATTGATTTATTAAATATTAATCTCTGGGCACCTGCTATAGTGTGATGGGTAACAAGCTAATCTTCTAGTGATCCTTTGCCAGACTAAGTTTAACAGAAAAAAAAGATCTTTGTCTCATATTATGTGCCAAGTGGAACTAAGCTATGTAGAAATGTATTGAATGTCACGGCACTACTTAAGTAGACTGACCCTCTCATAAAAATGGGGAAGAATTTTGTAGAGAGGAATAATTTTTGTAGCTCAGTTTTCCTTAGACCTGTAGTTCCCAAACTTTTTTTTTCTCTGGGCTACATTTTTGGAATTAAAATTTGCTTGTGCCTGACCAAAGGGAAGCCCCGGTGAAAAAATGGAAGCAGCCCTAAAGCAAAGAAGGTCCAGAGAGAGGGTTAAAGGAAGATAACCACAGATTTGAAGTCAGAACATTATCATTGATAACTCTCCCCCCAATTTGCAGACCCTACTTTACTATATTCTTAATACTTGATTTAATGCAAAAATATCCCAATGATAGAATTGGTCAATAACTATTTATACTGGGACTTATGCATGCAGTTACAAGTAATCCATAAAATATTTTAAAGTTTGAAATCATATTTTTGGCATATGAATTTTTTAAACTGTTTCTAAATCTTTGATTGTGTGTGTGTGTGTGTGTGTGTGTGATGTGGCATTCACCCTGGGCGGATTGAGCCGGCTTCTTCCTGTTGTGAGAAGAAGATTCTTGGGATAAATTACAGAAGTAGGGTACCCAGGCCTACTCGGTTAACGTTCTTGCTTGCACCAAAAGGTTCCCACAGACGCAGAGACAGGAACGACCAGAAAAGTTCATGCTGATGCAGACGCTCCTTGGATTTTCACCAGAGCCCTTATTAGCGGCGTGTGTGTCAGACCTGTCCGCTTTTGGTGGCCCTACCAGGAACGAAGTTCTGGGCCCTTATAGCTCTGACACTACTGTTTACACCCCCCACCGACTGTGAGGTAAGGGTTGGACTTTGGGGGCTTACAGTACCAGGTGTTCCCAAGTGGTCCCCATCTAAGTACTGACCTGGCTCTACGATGCTTAACTTCGGTGATCGAACGAGAACCGATGTTTTCAGCGTGATTTGACCGTAATCTTTGATTATCTTTCAATCATTCCACCTCACCTGTTATCCTCTTCCACCATACTTATGAGGTACTTGGCACCATTTGGAATCCACTATCTTATGCCTTGCTCAAGTTGCAGTATTTGCTAGAAGTCTCACCTATCCAGTAAGGACAGATAGAATTTCCAGTGTCCAGCCATTCTAGGCCTAGTACGTAACACCATCTGAGCACAGATGAGTCTATGGTTCGAATAATCTAAATGGTGAAATGTGGGGCAATCTAGTAAATCTAGATCAACTTTTCTCACTAGCTTTCTGTCCAGGTAGCTGGCTACCATAAGAGATGGCCACTTAAGTATCCATGTACACATCTCCTGTTGTGAATGATTGATCCAAGATCTATCAATGAGCCCAAACTCGCTGATCTGATTAATCGAGCTACAATTACTTGATGCTCTCCCACTAGCTCTTTGCCCGCTGTCTATGTTGATGTTCAGAATGGTATTCCAGTCCCTGATTAAGACTAAATGTGACAAATTCATCAGGAACGGACTCAACCTATGGAAAATGTGGACACACTAACCCTGATCGTTGAGTGCATAAACTGCAATGACCTGAAATAAACCACTGCTATGATTGACTGCCCCCACCAACCCCATGTTAACATGGACAAGGTCCACCCTTGCACACAGTAAATGTTTAATTAACAAAGAAACACCTCTGGGAAACCAGTCCCCATATGTTGAACAAAGTCGGTAGATAGTACACAAGAATCCACATCACAAACAATGTGTATCTGTTGGATCACAGCTACATCTACACCGAAGGACGAGAAATCGTGGAGTAGGTGGGCAACCTTACCCTGATCTCTCAAGCCCCTTTCATTCAGGCAAGTTAGCTTGATAGACATATTTTATGTTTTTAGAGTACCTTAAATGCAGACTGGGCAAAAATCTGTGGGGGTCAAGACCCTGACGGATTGTCCCAGATTTCCAGTACTAATGTTTGTTGTAATTTGACCATCTGTGACAATATCACCAATGTCTGTCAGGAAGACTACCTTAAGAGCCCTGTATAAGGAGGGATAGAGTAACACAGGGACCCTCCCTGAACATAACTTGGCTAATTTTTTAAATTCTTCAGACTTCACCTGACCCATTCTGATTTTGGGAAAGATTTTTGGGTGGTGTCTAAGAAGTCCTTCACCTTCAATTTACCACCCATATTTCTAATTAAAGTTCTTACCCCAGGAACGTGTGGGAAATTGCTGAGGTCCTCTGACGATGGGAAATTGACAGAGGTAAATTTGAACAACAGTTTTTCTCTGGGAGGAGAGGTTTTAACGCCTTCCTGTCAATGTGACAGATATTCTCCCTCATGGAGAAGGGCTTCTTTTTTTTGAGGTGGTTTGGTTGTGATGTTACGATGGAGGGATAGGTAAATTCTTTATAGGGAAAGAGAGGAGTCTCCTGGCCTTGTCTGTATGCAAAGCAGGAGGAGATTGGGATTTGCCATGTCCCACAGCTTTCTCAGCCCTGCTTTGACCAGTTTTTTTCTCCTTTTTGAAAATTTTGTCTTCCTCTGCCACCTCCTCCTCCTCTCTTCCTTTTTCAAAAAAGAAGAATTTGGTAGCAACATGTCATTTACCTCCATCTCACCCTCTACCTCTTGCTGCTGCAGTATAAGTTACTGTTGTTGCTGTGGTTTCTACTGCATTTGCTCCACCTGTAATTGCTGCAGCAGTTGTCAGTTCTGTTTTTGATGCTGCTGCCACTGTTGTTTCTGCAACTACTGCTGCTTCTCCTCCTGCTGTGGTTGCTCCTTCTGTGGTGGCCATTGCTGCTCTTGTTGCTGCAACTGCTGCTTTGCATCTTGTTTCTACACATGTCCCTCTCATACATGAGGGACATCCTGTTGAGGAGGAGGAGGGGGCCACCACTTTCTGTCCCCACTCTTCACTACATGCTGCCACCCACCAGGACTCTTGGGGGTCTGGTTGGACTTGTCTGATCTCATTGCCTTCTCTGATATCGTAGATTGCTGGGTTGGTGGTGTTGGGTTCCTTCTGGAGCAAGCTTTGATTAGTGGCCTGCAGAGCTGTAGGACCAGCAGTGAGGTCACCAGCCCCCCACAACTACAAAAATGTCCCGGCCTCAACACAACAAGACAGGGATGTCTGAAAAATTTTGCTGTGTCAGCATTACTAGCAAAGCTTCCTCTCCCATGGCAATGCCCACCTTATTCCTGGTTCTTACAACCTCACTGAATTGTCTATAGAGTGCAAAGAATGCCCCCAGGTGGTCCTCCTCTATATGAAGTGGCACCCCATGAAGAATGATTCTTGTTTTCCTCGTACCTAAAAGTTCAGTCTGTATCGTCACCGATTTTATTGTGAGGATGCTATCAGCCAGTGATTTTGCCTCACCTGGCATTGCTACCAAAATATCCCACATGGCATTAGACCTTCCACCAATATTTTGGGACTAATACTGAGGCTCTTAAATGTCTCTTCCATTATTTTTGTGCTGACACCAATTAGCATTCTTGTTTTCATATCTGAGGTCAGCAGGGAGATCATCTTGTGAGGAAATGCTCAAGAGTTCATTCCCAGCAATGAATTCCTTCTACTTTTCCTTTTGGGCTTCATAGTACTTTGGGTCCTTCTTAGGTGTGTTTGCCTCCCAAGCTGAAAGAGCAGTAGCAGGTGTTACTTATGACTGCTGTGAAGACTCCCACAACCAGAAAATGTAAAACAAGTTACAAAAACAAAGGAAACGGAATAGCACAAAATAATTAAAATAAAACATGTCAGACAACTAAAAAACACAGGTTAAAAAGGTGATACTCAAAAAAAAAAAATTGAAACAGGGCTACTTTTGCTAGAATGTTCCAAACTATCATCCAGTTTGGCAGACAAAAAGAAAGCAGGCTGTAATTAAATACAGACTCCTGTACTCAAGCATGTAAAGCAGTCTAATGATGGATATTTATTGATCACAGTATCCACACGAAAGTCAACAGCCAATCAGAACCTAGAGAATAGGCTGACCCAAGTAGTGTAATGGAACATCCCAGCCTGTTATATAAACCACTCATGAACTGGCCCAGCTAGACAGTTGTCAGAGTAAACTCAATTTACAATACAGTTAAGTACTGGTCTGTTTGTTCAACTAAATCCTACACCCTCTAAATCAATAATTAATCAATATTTTTTTCATTCTAACACATGTCCTGGCCTAAGAAAAGTTTAAAGAATGCTAGTGTATAAAAATTATTTTAAAATACTTTTGTCCCTATTTTGTATGAGTGGATCACTTTTTATTGTTTGTGAGGCTATAATCCAGAACTTATTCTTATGGTGTATACAGAAAGAAAAATGCAAAAGATAAAAAGAGTCACAAGACAAGGATGCATCTCCTAGCCAAGAATTTCTACTGAAGGTAGTAAAAGAAAGTGAGAAGAAAGGACTAACTGTTAATTGTAAGAAGACAGAATGTGTGATTGTTAGCAAGTGGGATAGCCCAAGATGTGAACTATGAATATGGGGTATCAGATTCAAGTAAATCTGAAAATTGAAATATCTGCAATGTAGTATAACAGACGGCAGAAAATATGACATGGAAATTCCAAAATGCATTGAAATAGTGAGAGATGCTTTCCAAAAGCTAAGCAAAGTATTAAGAAACTGGAAAATTCCATTAGAAGTAAATAAAAATACTGAACTGCTATATAATATCAATCACCCTCTATGTCAGTGAATGTTGAGCAATTTCTTCACAAAGAAGAGACTTGAAGCAACAGAGATGTGGTTCTACAGAAGGATGATGAGACTAACATGAAATGTATCAACAATGAGGAACTTTTAAAGAAAATGGGACTAAAAAGGACACTTATACTTAGAATTAGAATGAGTCAGCTGAAATTTTTGGGACACATGGGGAAAGAGGGCTTGAAAATTTGATACACACAAGTCATATTGAAGGCAGGAGAGCAATTTGAATAAATGGATAGCAGAACAGGGACTGAAAGGAACAGTAAATGAAGAGGAATTTGTTGATAGCCATGATTGCCCACATCTTGAAGGTCACATAAAAGAAGAAATGTAGTAGGCATTAAAAATAATAGGATTATTTATATATGAATTGCCAGTACAATCTTGTATCATAGTATGATTCCCTAGCATGTTTACTTAGAATCAGAGTGTAGTGTATGTGCATTTTGTGAAAAGTGGTACATACATAGATAAACACTATATTTTATTGATAATGTTCAAACTATTTACTCCTCTGGGAATGCCATGAGTCTCCTTTGGTATCATAGTACTGCGGTGATAGCAGCAGTGGTGTGTCTAGAGCAAGATTGCCTGACAGAGCCCATTCCTCTTAAGGCTGGTTTTGAATTTAGAATTTTCCTTCTTCTAGATTGGTTGCCACTTCAAGGGAAGGGAGATCAGTCTACCCTGCTATTTAAGCCATATCTAGGAGAAGGAAGAAAAGATGGGTCATACTTTTTTTCCAAAGATATTTGTATAAAAATGAACTCAACCAAAATTTGAATTTGCTCTTCCAGTTACTCTTTTTGTATACTTAAATCGTACATTATGTATACCTCTGGAAAATACATTTTTTCATTTTCTTTTCTCTTTTTATATTTCCTTCATTTTCGTCTGCTTTTAATCTCTGATCTGAAAAATTCCTTGAATAATTTTGGTTTTGAATAAATTCCTTCATTATTTCAAAGAACTGCAAGAAACATGTTTTTCTTTTACAGAACTTTCATTGTATTAGTGCAGCCTCCCCGAATTCTGAAAGTGAATACTAATATGAAGGCTTCTGTATGTTTACTGCCGGCTGAAGCCTTGAATATTACTTCTAAATCTGTAACTGTCACAGCAGACTTAACATCGTACGTATTTTGTAATTGCTCTTGAATTGTGAACATGTAACTTAAGTCTTTTAGGTTTAGACTTAAGTCTTTATTCCAAACTCTTAAAGGATCGAAGCAGAATGGCATTAGTTTTTTTAGGAATTTCTTTTACTATTCCTTCAACAATTTTGGTCTTCCAAACATGCCAGTTTCTAATTTTCTTTTCTTTTAGTAATGTAGTGTAGTGTTACTGATTTTTATTTTAACTACCTTCACTTCTTGGCAATGTTTATTGTTTTAAAAAGTGATGATTAGCATTGTAATAAATCCTAAACATATGAAAGTGAATTTCTACATTTTCTTTGTTATTGAGAATTGACAACAAAATAACAAACACTATTTATTTATTTAGATTGTTTATTGGAGTCATTGGCAAAACATTGGCTAATTTCCAATTGATGCTTACTCTATAAAATGTTAAATAAGAATTTTGTTATAGTTGGTTCACATATTTTAATAATTTAGTAAATATTTATAAATTTATGAATAAAATATTAATTGCAATATTTGCATTATTCAGAGTCTTATCCTCATCTTCATTGCCATATTCACAATGTTTTGGCCGTTGTATGCTCCAGCCTTCTTCAGGTGGCCAAAACATTGTGAATAAGTAAACTATAAGGAAATCCTTATTATTTACCATTTTATAGAGTATGCATCAGTTGGAAATTAGCCGATGTTTTGCCAACCAACAGCCAAAATGTTGTGAATATGGTAATGAAGATGAGTATAACAGTCTTAATAATGTAAATAATGCAAGTAATCATAATACCTCATCTTAGTGATATAGACAGAATAAAAAATTGTTTTTATATTTATTTCTTTATGAATTGGTAAATGATAAATATCACATTACATTAGTTCTAATCATATTAGTTTTTAGAATGTTGTAAATATAAAATTATTCTTGGAAATAAGAAAAATGGAAAAATTTGTATTTTTTTATGCAAGAAAAAATTTTCCATAATTTTTTATTTCTTTATTTTTTTTCAGGGATGATGAGGTCTTTTCTATAATTTTTTCTTTCTTTCTTTTTTTTTCTTTTTTCAGGAATGATACGGTCAAAGGAATTCTTCAAAACAATACAAGTACTATGAAGATTTCTCAGAAACAAAACACAGCAGAATTTACTAAAATGGTGGGTTTTTTCCTGTTTGTATACAAAATCTATACTATAAAAATAGAGCTGATTGTCTGTCTGTCATACACTGACTGCATCTGACTTTGCTGGTGTGTATATAATGTAGATTTTTTGTCTGAATTTCTGGTATGAGAAGTTAGCATTATTTACACTATTTATATTCAGACTATTATCTGCATCTTTGTTGTTGCTATCATAATGTTATATTCCATGCTAATAGGAATATATACTTGAAAAACAAGGTGGATAAAATAAGTAAAAGTTTATTGTAAAAACCAGTGCAATAAGAATAAATGTAACAGTTATGCACAAGGTCGTCGCAAGTCAATCCAGTAGTGAGTGCTACTATTGGAAGGTCGGTAGTTCTTGCGTAAGTCTGAGTCATACTCAACAAATTCCAGCTAGTATATTTAGCGACTCCCCCACGAGGCACAAGGCCGGTTTAATGTAGGTTCTCTGAGCTCGTAGGCTCGGCCAAAAATATTCCCTTTCAAACCCGTATAAATGAGTTCAGGGTCAGTCAATCCCCCCCCGAACGAAACTCTGCAGAGAGTTTGACTGTTTAGCTGGAACAGATCCCAGCTAGTCTTTGTAGTCTGTTGACTTACAGATACTTATAGGTCGTCACTACCTATAGTGTAGTCACTCATGGGGAGACAGGTTATTCCATTACATCATATAACATTTCAGTTGTTGTGCCCTCCAGCCTTCATCAGGTGTATATCATGCTGGGTAACCTACAGGGAATTCTGAACTAAATGTTTTATTTAATCTGTGGGAGTATACTGCTCTCATTCCATTGACCATAGAATAGGGATATCTCATCTAGTTCTTACTTTTAGTACTGCTCAATTATTGATCACCCTGTGTCCACTCAATACATGTACACACAGCTTGGCCAAGGTATTGAACTCGTCACCAAATTCATAAACTAATGATTTCATTTACTAAATTTTGACTAGGTCCCACCAGTCCTAACCTTCACCCATCATTCCACGCACATTGTAGTGAACCACCCTCATTCCTTTGGTGAGATGTAAATCCCACATGAGCAGGTACCAAAGAGGAAAGCAGCTTCTTTCTATGAATCACTGCCTTGTGAAACCCGACTCCCAAAAGGATGCTTTACTAATGACTACAATCTTAACTTGTTCAGGTTAACTGCTATCTTCCACATATATCTACATAAGCTGTGCCTCTTATTCTATAACCCTCTACTTCAAGTGGCCCTTGGGCCTTATACAGAGTGAACATCATTGTTAAAAAAAAGTATAGTACAGTGCTTGTTAAAAATCACTACATTTTGGAAAGAAATAAGTATATAAAACACTTCTATGTTCCTCCAAATGACTATTAAATTATATGAGGTACTGAAATCAAATTAAATAAAGAAATTTACTTTCTCTGAATTATTTTGTAGGTTTTAACCCTATAGACTCACCTTTGAAGTATAGGGTCTCACCTTTGAAGTATAGGGACTCATCTTTGAAGTATAGGGACTAACTTTTTAAGTATAAGGACTCAGCATTACTAATGTGCTAGGAGTTGTTTCTGTGCTTTCCATTACTTGAAGGTTTTTACAGTGTGGACTTTCTATCCTGACGTCCAGCTGGTTTTGAATTCAGAGTTGTCCGTCTCTTAGATTGGTTGTCATCAAAGGCTAGAGAGCTCAGTCTGCCCTACTATTCTCCCCTTAACTGGTGGTGAGAGGACATGGAATCATGGCTTACCCAGATGTATTTGTGCAAAAGCAGATGCAATGAACCTGGATGGAATTTGGACTTAACATGCCAATGCCACTTTGTACACACATCCTTGAACTATTTATGTTCATAGCTAATTTCATCTCATATTAACCCAACATTGCAACAGTCTTAAATGTCAAAGAATAAACCGATTAATATTAGAAGATATCAGCTAACCATTCCCAAAAAATATTTTGTATTTTTCAGAAAGTAAATGATGTTACAAGATCAAAAAACAAGTCTGGAGAGGTGAGTTGATTTTTCTTCAATTTTCAGATTGAAATAAATTTAAAAGCTTCAGATATCCTGATAGATCCACACATATAAAATATACTGATAAACCCATGGATATAAAAAAATATACTGATAGATCCATTGATATAAAAAATATAGATCCATCAATATAAAAATTATACTGATAAAACTACCAATATAAAAAAATATACTGATAGATCCATCAATATAAAAAATATACTGATAGATCCAGAGAAATAAAAATACAAAACCTAAAGAATATATGAATAACAAAAGAGGAAAGAAAAAAGGACTGAGTGATGACAAATTCTTTGCTTAACTCTCATCACAAATTCACTTTTCTGATGTTTGTTTATTGAAATACTGACTTTTAAGATATTAGTTAGGTCAAGAATACTTAAGCAGCACCTCCTTATATAATAATTTTCTGATGTTCTTATTGAAGGAAATGTTGGCAACAGAAAAAGAAAAAAGATTTAAACATCCAAATGGTTTTCATAAATTCCATCTTCCACCACAAATTATAGGTTTATTTACATAGGGATGTTATAACAAGCATATAAATGCAAGGAAAAGAACAAACAAAGATTCAAATTTCAATGATGTTTAAGTATGAATAATATATAGTTGTGTGAAAAGTGGCAAAAATTGTTAATATGTTGTTAGTTACCATTTTAAGGAAAGTGGTTACATCTAAGTGTCTGTGTCTGATTTGTTGGGTTGGTTGACCATGGTCAAAGTCCATATCAGGAGAGAGGTATAGAGTGGATTAGTGTAGCAGAGTGGGGTTGACATATGCCTTTTTTCATGATTGAAATTGACACTGGTGAGGTGTTTAATAGGCTGGCAGTCATATGATAAAGCTGGTGTTGAATCCAAACTGCTTGCTGTTAGCAAAGAGTGCTGTTTTTATATCTGTGGTTTAACAGGCACAGGTTCCAAGGCACACCCTTTTTAATTTTGGTGGCAACATTTGTAATTAGCTATTGCATTTTAGATTTTTGTGGGGATATGTTTTATTGACTGGATATGATGCTCAGAGTCTCTGTGCAGAAAACTTTTTTTATTTTAGATTTTGTTTTCTTTAGCACTCACATATGTCTAGTAAAATGTATTTGTGAATCAGAAAAAGATCTTGATTAAGTAGTATAGCAGTGTTCCATGTCTTAGTTCAGTATAGTATCTATGCCCTCTGCATAATAATCTTCTTCATAATGTAAAAGGTCATGGAACAATGTAGGTCCAAGGATAAAGCCCTGCAGACACCTTCATTAATGCAGAAAAGACTTTGAGGAGTGGGCATTCAAGATAACTTTCAATTAGTAATTTCATAAGGAAAATTGACTCAGAATAAAAGTTAATCTGGTCTTGTACTTCTGCTATGTATTTAGAGATTCTTGGAAATATCTGAAGAAGAATCTGCAATGTTATTTCAACTAACCTGGCATCTCTGCTTCTGTCACTTTTTCACCATCTTAATGTAGCTTCTCTCTGCCTTTTCTATCATTTTCTACCATTTATTTATTAGATTGTTTATTTACACTATTTATGATATTATTTATTTGAATCAATTGGCAAAACTAATTGCCCACAGATTCAAACTTTATAAAATAGTAAATATAATGATTTCCTTATAGTTGGTTCATATATTTTGATAGTTTAGTAAATGTTTATAAATTTATAAATAAAAAAAATAGAATTTTGTATTTATTTCTTTATTGATAAATAATAAATATTGCATTGTATTAGTTTTTAGAATGTTGTAAATATAAATATTGTTGTAAATAAACACTCTAGTAAATAAATGATGTTTAATATTTTTGTTGTAAATTTTCAAGAAAAAAATTTATAAATTCATTTTCATCATATGTTTAGGTTTTATCACAATTCTAATCATCACTGTTTAAAACAATCAACATTACAAAAGAGTAAAGTTAGTTAAAATAGTAGCAGTGTTATTGGGGGGAAAAAACGTCCTTTTAACACTCCATTTTTTGTAAGCATATTAGTTAATGTTTGCCTCACTTTCATTTGTGTTTTCAATTTCACTGCAGTGGATAAATTGTAACACACACACACACACACATAAACACATATATGAATAAAAGGACAAGAGAGAAATATATTCTTAGCCAATGCGTTTTGTTCTCAGGGATTTTATATACAAGAGCAAGGATATCATTGATTTATCAAGGCTTTTAAATTTTTAAATTTGAGAGTGTTCATGAACATTTATCAGGTGATTGAAAGGTCAGTCAAAATATATGGAAGTCACAAAGTGCCATAATTCAAAGTCAGATAAAACAAAAATAAGCAAGTAATATACATTACCTCATGTTTTTGAAGATATAGAGCACATATGTCTATCCCAACCCATAACAATTTGATCACAATTTAAACAATATTTATTCATCTAAAAAAATATTTCTTGAGTATTACTCACTCACTTTTGTTGTACCAGATTTTGAATTATGGCATTCAATATTCAATATATACCTGACATGCAATGAGGGTAAAACATCAAAATATTTCAGAAGCTTTATTTTTCAATTTGCTAATGATGTTATTGGATAGTACATAGGTATTTTTAATGCATTTAACAGTTTATAGCTATAGCATAACATACAACCTTACAAATAAACAAAAATTGCAAATTTCCATATACAATTAGAAACTTACATCTATAAGTAAAAAATAGATATACAAAGAAAAAGAATGTGAAATATTTGGTATAATTATAGTGTAATATACAATTATTGTGTTTGGTTAGACAAAATAAATGTAAGTTGAACTATCTCCTTTTTACTGACGTCATAAAGATCTTGAAAGCACTTGATGGCCCATTCTGTACATTGATTTGTTCTGGGAATTTCCAGTTTCTGGTTCTGGATACCAAAATTTTTTCACATAGTTTGATGCTTTTTTTGCAAGCCTGCAAACTGCTACATAGCTTCTGATAATCATCTGCATTATAGATTTGATCAGTAAATCAATGGTCCACTCATCTATAAGATGTGAATCTACAGAGTTCAAGTAGTGAGTCTCTTTTCTCTGGTAGAAGACTAAAGGCCAAAAATGCTTGTATTGCTCTAGGATTCCATCTTGCATTACTTAAGTTAAGTATGTTTTGAAATTTCACTTTAGGAAATCTGCCACTTTCTTCGAAAAAACAAATGAAATGAACATTTTGTATCATCACACCATCCTGATGTTTCATTAATCTCTTCTTTACCATTTTTTAAATTCTTCTTGAGCTCCCTTTTTGGTTTTTTTTTTACAAGTTCAAGGATAAACAGATATTCGATATTGGGTGATGTGTTCTTTCCTCCAAGTTCATCATCCATTCCTAAATGAAGCACTCAGTCAGGAACATGATGTTGATGGCCAATGAATTGTGGCTCTTGCAGTTTCTTTTGAGTAAATAGTTTTTGTAACTGAATAACAATCCAATTCCTACTTCATAGTATATGCAACAATCATCTTTATACTCTTCCATAAATTGCAATAATCCAGAAAATCTGTTATCCCTTTGACAACAATATACTATTTTCTATTTGGTAGATATAATGCTTCTAACTTCTTTCATTTTTCAAAACAAGCACTTGATATTCTTGGCTATCAATTCATTTACCATTAAAATGCAATGACCAATTTTCTAAGTAGTGTTTTCTTCATTTCTTTAAGTTTAACAGGTTCTTCAATAGTGAATCATTAAATACCAGACTGAGAAAATGTCTCAACAACATCAGTCCCCTCTTGAGATAACAACTGACAAATATTTGCTGCTTTACTGGTTGATAAGTTTGAAAATGTTGCTAATTTGGTTCCAGTTTTACAGTAGACTCCAAAATTAAGGAATAGAAATTAAAACTTTGATATCTCAAAAAATATAAGTCCAATTTTTCTGAATTTTTCACTAAATATCGACAAATGCCAGTTCATTTGTGCTGTAAGCCTGTAAGTTATTTGGAATGATACAGAGAAATCTATGATTCAGTTGTGCTTTAAGCTTCTAAGTTATTTGGAATGATACAGAGAAATCTATGATTCATTTGTGCTTTAAGTCTGTAAGTTATTTGAAATGATACATAGAAATCTATGATTCATTTAATTTTTTACTCACATATCAGTTGTGCAAAATTAATGCAATGGTTTTAATAAAAAGATAATTGGACAGCAAAATGCAAATGGTTTTATAAATATTTACTGCTAAGACCTTTGCTTTGAATCAATGCTGCACATCAGCGTCCACAGGATTTCACTAAATTTTGACATTCATTAACTGTAATTTTAACCCATTTCTCCTGAAATTTTTGTCATCGATCTTCAACATTTGATAGATTCATAGCCATGACATTTTGTCTTAAAGTTGTTCATAAGTTTTCTATGGGAGTCATGTCAGGACTTTGAGCTGGCCAATCAATAATGTTTATAGCTTGGTTGTTCAGATAAGCAATAACCTGCTTTGCCTTATGGTAGGAAGCATTATCCTGCATGAATACTGGATTTTCAAACCCAGAATTTTGTAATGTTTTTCTAACAAATTCTTGTACATAGCAGCATTAACTGAATTATGTAAGTGCACAAGAGGTGATGTACCCAGACTTGAAAACATACTGAAAACCATCACACTGCCTCTGACAAACTTGACTGCCTTCTTGTTGCACTTTCAACTCACCCTTTTGCCAGTTCATTTTCTTACATCATATTTTCCACCAGAACCAAATACATTAAATTTTCTTTCTTTACTGAAAGTAAATTTCTTACTGTCTTGTTCTTTTTGCTTATGAATGGCTTCTGCAGACAACTAGCATAAAGCACTATTTCTTACAAGTGTCTAGACACAGTTTGTTAAGACATATTAATATCATTTGAAAATTACTTGTGAAATGCTTGCTAAAGTTTAAAAAAGGTTCTTCTGTGCTAAATGTTGAATGATCCTGTCTTCCCTGGCCAAAGTTTACCTTGGTCTACCCACCTTGTTTGGAATGGTT